ACAGCATCTTAAGAAGCAGAGACATCACCTTGCCAAAAAAGGTCCGTATAGTCAAAGCTATGGTTTTCCCAGTAGGGATGTATGGAAGTGAGAGCTGGACCATAAAGAAGGCTGATCGCCGAAGAATGGATGCTTTTGAATTCTGGTGCTGGAGGAGACTCTTGAGAGTCCCATGGGCTGCAAGAAGATCAAACCTCTCCATTCTGAAGGAAATCAGCCCTGAGTGCTCACTGGAAGGACAGATCCTGAAGCTGAGGCTCCAAGACTTTGGCCACCTCATGAGAAGAGAAGACTCCCTGCAAAAGACCCTGATGTTGGGAAAGATGGAGGGCACAAGGAGAAGGGGACAACAGAGGATGAGATGGTGGGACAGTGTTCTCGAAGCTACCAGCATGAGTTTGACCAAACTGCGGGAGGCAGTGGAAGACAGGAGTGCCTGGCGTGCTCTGGTCCAGGGGGTCACCAAGAGGCGGACACGACTAAACGACTAAACAACAACAAGTTTTTCACACTGTCCAGGTTTTGTTTTTAAAAAGAAGTTGCCGGTTCAGGCTGGCAAGGGAGGGCCGTGATGGCAAGCGAAGGCCTGGGTGGCAAGTGAGGGCTCAATAGCGCCCCCTTCTGGCTTCCCTTGCTATAGCATGGAGACTTCTGTCCCGGCCGGCCAGGGCTGTGCCGAACGAAGGAAGCGAAGAACAAAGCGCCTTTTTGTGCAAAGTCTCCCCCATCGCCGCCGCCACCAGCCCTGCCCCGTCCCAAAGTGCTTAAAAACATAAATATTGGCTCTGGACGTCAACAAAGAAGGCCGGCAGAGGGGAGGAAGGAGGTCGAGACGGCTCTGTCTGGAGACTCCCCCCTTGTTTATTTAAGAATATTTAAGCTCATTGGAAGCTTGCATGGGATTTAGTTTCAGGCTGCAATCAAAGAGGCAACGACTCTCTTTCGAAAGACAGAGAGAGAGAGGTTTGGAGGCCCAGAAAGACCCACTGACAGCATGTGAGAGGAGACTGCAATCAAATGCACTCTGTACATGCTCAGATGCCACTTCCCTTGCCTGGAAAACGAGCTGCGCAGCTTTGTACCATCTCCGTATAACCGAGGCCGAAAGTGCCCCTGCCCAAAGCATAGTCGGAAAGATAAAGGGCTCGGATTATGCCAGAATTTCAGAGATTCCTACATTGCAGAGGGGGTCAGTCTGGATGACCCCTTAGGTCCCTTCAAAGGCTGCATTTCTATGAATCCCAGAACCAAAACACTAATACTGATGATGGAGGTCTTGGGGGTCACGTTGGACTGGAGGCCATAACCTCAAGAGCATCACTGCGTCCCAAGGTGTAGCTAACCAGGGAGAGGGAAACGCACTCTGCGCATGCTCCAGAGTCGTCTTGTTTCGTATTATCGTCATGAGAAGTGCCAAGGCTGAGAAAGCAGATGCCATGGCTAAGATTAAGACTCTTCCTGAAGACATAAATAGCAGGGGGGTCTTTGGAGACAGACAGATGCCCATTCCAGGATCAGCCTTCTCAGAAGTGTGACTCTGAGCATGTCAAGAGTGCTTCCTTTTCTGACGCTGTCCTCCCAGGAGGAGGAGGACGTGAGGGAAGGGGCAGAGAACTGTGTTCCCTCAAGCTGGGTGAGAGCTGTTTGCTGCAAAAAACCAAAACAAAACCACAATATGTACTTTGATCTGACAAGTTGTGTATTTTTGGAAAAAGGGAAACGGCCACAGCGGCCGTCTTCTCCACAGCCGGCCAGCAGAGGGCGCTGGCATTCTGCCCACGCCACAAATCGCCCACAAATGTTTGGGGCACGGTTGGAGGGCGAAGAACCCAGGGATAAAGTAGTGTCATGGGTGCGATGAGTGGAAGAGATAAGATATCATATATAATCCTTGGCAATAATTAAATTTTGTTCCTCTCTCACACACACTTCGTTCCAAGCCAGAAGAGAGGCCTTAAATCTCCCAGCATAAATACAGATTTTGGCCCCGAGCCACCAGTGAGATCAGCTCAAAAAATGACACACGTGGGAAATGAGGGGGTGGCCGTTTGCCGTCCCCTTCCCCCCCGCCTGCCTCACTTTCCAAACTGGTTCCGGCACACCTTCCCCGAAAGGCAGAAATGCCACCGGTGAAGCTTCCTCTGCAGCGATGCAGGAAAACGGCACCACCCGGCCTTTCATCGCCCTTGCAGCGTCCTGTGGCAAGGAGTTCCGCAGGCCCACAAGGAACGCAGCTTAAGCGGGAGGGTTTTGCAGAAAACGGGTCTGGAAACCCGGGAGACCCTTCTGGGCAGAATGGAAAGAGTGTGGTCTTTTAAATAAAATAAATAATAATAATAATAATAATAATAATAATAATAATAATAATAATAATCCTCAGTCCCCAGCTTCAAGGAGTTGCAAGCTTGGCTGCTCCCAAGCCTGGCATCGCCTGAGCTTCTTTTCCCTAAGCCGCGCCGTCCTTGCAGTGACCTCTCCAAATCTGCTTATGTAAGTGACAAATACTCACTGGCCCCATGCTGGTATAAATTGTTCATTAAAATAATAGGGGGGGGCTGAGAAAGAGGGGAAGAAACACTCCCTAACCCCCCCCCCCAGCTCCCTCCCTGAGATTGCTGGAGAGCTCAGCTGCTGTTCGCAGAGGGCAGACGGGGAGAAAAGTCACAGGCGGGCAGCGTATAAACCTTCGAGATCGCGCTTCTAGATTGCCAGGGATGTCTGGCATCTCACCCGACTGGCAGAGCCAAGATCTGCCGGCCTGTAGCGAGCTGGAGAAGGCAGAGGCCAGCTGTCCGCTCAGGAGAGGAGGGCGGCTTGGAGGAAGCCAACACCCCAGAGAGAAAAGGCCCCCGTCATATGCTAAAAGGTGTGGGTTACCCATCTGTGCAACAACACAGCAACTCGGCTTCTCAAAGAAGCTGTTTCTGCTTTGAGAGCAAGCCGCTAGTCCTCAAGGCCACAAAGGCACATGCGAAAGGGTACGGTGTGTCTGATCCGGGGACATCAGATGCTGGATCTAAGCCTGGCCAATATAATAATAATAATAATTTATTATTTATACCCCACCCATCTGGCTGGGTTTCCCAGCCACTCTGGATGGCTTCCAACAAAACACTAAAATACAATAACCTATTAAACATTCAAAGCTTCCCTAAACAGGGCTGCCTTCAGATGTCTTCTAAAAGTTTGGTAGTTGTTGTTCTCTTTGACATCTGGTGGGAGGGCGTTCCACAGGGCGGGTGCCACCACCGAGAAGGCCCTCTGCCTGGTTCCCTGTAACTTGGCTTCTCGCAGTGAGGGAACCGCCAGAAGGCCCTCGGAGCTGGACCTCAGCGTCCCGGTAGAACGATGGGGGTGGAGACGCTCCTTCAGGTCTACTGGACTGAGGCTGTTTAGGGATTTAAAGGTCAGTGGCGCTGTGGGTAAAAGCCTCAGCGCCTAGGACTTGCCGATCGAAAGGTCGGCGGTTCGAATCCCCGCGGCGGGGTGCGCTCCCGTCGCTCGGTCCCAGCGCCTGCCAACCTAGCAGTTCGAAAGCACTCCCGGGTGCAAGTAGATAAATAGGGACCGCTTTCTAGCGGGAAGGTAAACGGCGTTTCTGTGTGCGGCTCTGGCTCGCCAGAGCAGCGATGTCACGCTGGCCACGTGACCTGGAAGTGTCTCCGGACAGCGCTGGCCCTCGGCCTCTTGAGTGAGATGGGCGCACAACCCCAGAGTCTGGCAAGACTGGCCTGTACGGGCAGGGGTACCTTTACCTTTTACCTTTTACCAACACTTTGAATTGTGCTCGGAAACATACTGGGAGCCAATGTAGGTCTTTCAAGACCAGTGTTATGTGGTCTCAGCAGCCGCTCCAAGTCACCAGTCTAGCTGCCACATTCTGGATTAATTGCAGTTTCCAGGTCACCTTCAAAGGAAGCCCCACGTAGAGCGCATTGCAGTAATCCAAGTGGAGATAACCAGAGCATGCACCACTCTGGCAAGACAGTGTGCGGGCAGACAGGGTCTCATCCTGCGTACCAGATGGAGCTGGTAAACAGCTGTCCTGGACACAGAATATCTCAGAAGCAAGACTTACAAGATGACCAAAAAAATCATTGAAATTGTTTCTGGGGTTTTCTCTCTCCTGCACCACAAATAATCTTCCCCCAGTTATAACGCAAGACTGTTACACAGCTCATTTCGGTGGGGAAAGTCGAGGCAAGGGCTCTGCCCATCTCCTGATCCTTTCCCCTGACTGGTAAGAATCAGAAGTGATGTAGAAGACGAGACGAGGCCAATCTGCTTTTTTTCTTTTCATCATTCATATTGAGATCGCAGAATAATAATAATAATAATAATAATAATAATAATAATAATAATAATAATAAATTTATTATTTATATCCTGCTAATCTGGCTGAGTTTCCCCAGCCACTCTGGGCAGCTCCCAATCGAGTGTTAAAAACAATACAGCATTAAATATTAAAAACTTCCCTAAACAGGGCTGCCTTCAGATGTCTTTTAAAAATAAGATAGCTGCTTATTTCCTTGAGATCTGGTGGGAGGGCGTTTCACAGGGCGGGCACCACCACCGAGAAGGCCCTCTGCCTGGTTCCCTGTAACTTGGCTTCTCGCAGGGAGGGAACCGCCAGAAGGCCCTCGGAGCTGGACCTCAGTGTCCGGGTAGAACGATGGGGGTGGAGACGCTCCTTCAGGTATACTGGACCGAGGCTGTTTAGGGCTTTAAAGGTCAGCACCAACACAACACAACAACACAACACAACACAACACGCCAGCTTTCTGCTCCTGCCCTGCCTTCTCTGGACCATGCAAACCATAGCAACAAAGCATCGAGCAGCTGGAAGCATGTCTTCATGCACTGCGGGTCAACTGCGGAACTCACTGACACAAGATGTACGGCCAGCTGTCAAAGGCAGCAGACCAACAGCTGGGGCAGTCACTCCTAATTTGAAAATAGGTTTGGGGCAACCTTAAAATTTGGAGAGGTGGGACTCTTACCGTCCGTGAAGGGCTCCCACTGGTACAGGCGTCCCATGAACTCCTGGTTGTTGTATGCCGCACACTGGACGGCCCGAGGATCAGGTCGATCAGGCGGGCACGGCTGCAGAAGGAAAAGGGGGAAGGCCGGGCGGGCAGAGAGAGAGAGAGAGAGAGAGAGTCAGATTATTCCTAGATTTTAAAAAGGTGAACTTGCAACATAGCAGAAATTCTTACTTCCCAGTTCGGACAAAGGATGTAATTTGTCACATTTGCGTACAGCCCTTACATTGCGTTATATCCCACGTTACTCAGCGTAGACCCATTAAAATTGATGGACATGGCTAACGCAGGCCCATTGGTTTCAGTGGGTCTTCTCTGAGTAGAAATGTGTTGGATTTTAGCCTCTGAGGGACACACACAAAATGAGATCGATCTTTCATCCATGTAACAAAGAGAGAAAGAAACAGAGAGAAAAGCAGGCCCCAGGGCATGCAATAAGTTTCGCGATCAAAGCAGGGATTCGAACTCGCATCCTCCAAGCCGCAAGCCCGCTCTGATTATTGTCGGGAGGGGAGAAAGGAAATTAAGACCCTTGAAACCGGTTTTATCAGGTCAATGCATCCTATTAACCTTTTCTAAGAGCAAATTCATTAATGGCTGTTGTCCGAACAGTCTTTGAAAACGTGGACGTTTTTGGTGTTTGGTTTCCCACCCGTTGCAAAAAGCACAAAAATGCTGCCCTCATACTAACGATAAAGGAGGTTTGGGAAATTAAGCAGGAAATTCAATCACGAGCTTATCTCCTGCTCACTTCAAAGGGCCGGTAACAATAGAGGCATTATCTACAGAGAAGCTGGACGCCCAGAGAGGTCATATAGGATTGGGGGGAAAAACATTCCCTTTCCGCCTCCTCCCAGTGCATTAAAAGTGGTTTAAAAGAGGTGTATGGATAAACAGGTTGTGTAGGCTTTTGCGTAGATTCCAAAACCTGCTGGATCTGTTTGACCGGAGTCAAGAGCAGCTGAAAAGAAAATGAGAAAAATCTAGCAAATGATGCCCCTTTGGATCTCTTAAAAAAATAATTGCTTGCCTCCAGCCAAAGGTCATCTCTGAAAGATCATCACACACACACACACACACACACACACACACACACACACACACCTTGCTCTAACCACTAAGCCTTCCAGAATTGCTCAAAGTTAGGAGTAGGATCCAGCAGTTAAAGAGGAAAGGGCCCAAGTGTGTTTAATTCCAAGTTGTACTTGTTCACGGGCAGCCTTCCTCTTCCACAAATACCCCCCCCCAACTTGAAGGCAGCTGTTTGTCTGGTCCCAAGGGGCCAAACAGGAAAGCTTGGAAGCAGCCACGCAAAACGCCCATGGCTCTAGTCCCTAAGAATTCGCCAGAGCCATCTCTCTGAACAAAGAGGTCTGTTTCCCATCACTGTTCGAAAACTCTTTGTTTACAAGACAAGTAAAAAACAGGAGACTGCACCGTACGTTTCTGAAAGTCTTAGGCTGTGTACGTACACCCCATACATTTCAAAAAAACCTCCCTAGAGAATACCGGGAACTGTAGTCCCCCCCCCCCAGAGCTGCAATCCCCAGCATCCTTTGCGAACTACCGTTTCTAGGGTTCTTTGGGGATGGAAAACATGCTTTAAATGTGTGCTGGGTAGGCCCCTTCATCAGCAAATAAACAACAGTTTGATCACCAGCTTCTGAACTCGGGATGTAAGGAGCCCACTTAGCTGAATCAGGGCTGTTTTGCAGTAAAACACAACTAACAGAGTAAAATGCAATAGGAGGAATATCTGTTCATTAAAATTAAACTCCTTAATTCTAGCCTCCCGTTAACTTTGCTGCTAACCCCCTCCACTCCTTTCAAGTGTCTCTTCACCTCTGCTACTTCCGGTCCATTCTGCTAATTTTTTGGGCACACCACCAGACTGTAAGAATGATAAAACAAGTCTTGGCAGACCACTTAATGTTTTTCCCCCCTGCCTCTTGTACCGATCGCAATGCGCTGCGCTAGACACTGTGCAATTTTGGGTTGCATTTTTATTGCTTCCTGGGTATTGTATTTTTGTTTACAGTGGCACCTCGGTTTTTGAACGTCGACAAGCGTTTCAGTTTCCCAACACCGTAAACCCAGAAGCAAACGCTTCGGTTTTTGAACACGCCTCGGAAGTTGAACATGCCACGCAGTTTCCGTATTGAGGCTTCTGTGTTGAGTTTCCGGTTTCCAAACTCAAACGGTCTTCCGGAACGGATTACGTTCGAAAATCCGAGGTACCACTGTACCGCAATTTGAAGTCCGAGGAATTCAAACTGCAATAGTCATACCTTGGGTTGAAGTAGCTTTGGGATAAGTATTTTCAGGTTGTGCGCTGCAGAGACCCGGAAATAATGGAGCGTGTTACTTCCAGGTTTCGCCGCTTGCGCATGCGCAGACAGTCAAAACAACGTCATGCACATGCGCAGAAGCGGCGAATCGCGACCCGCGCAGACTGGGTTGTGTTCGCTTCTAGATGTGAACGGGGCACCGAAGGTACCACTGTACGACAAAGCGCAATGCAAGAAATATGCAGCCGTGAATTAAAATTAAACTCCTTTAATTCTCGCCTCCCGTCTACGCTGCTGATCCTCTCCACTCATTTCAAACAGCTCCTACATCTGTTGCTTCTGCTCCATTGCTGTTCGCTTTCTGGGTGGACCAAACAATTTAAAGAAGGATGGAGCAGCCCTGCTCACAGCTACTGCTGCCCTGTTCTTCAGGCATGCCAAAGGCCACCTGAATAATAAATTTTTTTTGTACCCCGCCCATCTGGCTGGGTTTCTCCAGCCACTCTGGGCGGCTTCCAACAAAGATTAAAGGTACAGGGACCCCTGACCATTAGGTCCAGTCACAAACGACTCTGGGGTTGCAGCACTCATCTCGCTTTATTGGCCGAGGGAGCCGGCGTCCAGCTTCCAGGTAATGCGGCCAGCAGGACTAAGCCGCTTCTGGTGAGCCAGAGCAGCGCACGGAAACGCCGTTTACCTTCCCGCCGGAGTGGTACCTATTTATCTACTTGCATTTTGACGTGCTTTCGAACTGCTAGGTTGACAGGAGCAGGGACTGAGCAACGGGAGCTCACCCCGTCACGGGGATTCGAACCACCGACCTTCTGATCGGCAAGCCCTAGGCTCTGTGGTTTAACCCACAGCGCCACCCGCGTCTCCAACAAAGATTAAAAATACATTAAAATGAAGCATGCAGGCCACTGGTGGACCACAATTTGGGAGCCCCTGCTATAGGGCAGAGAAGCCCCACCCCGATCTCTTACCTCTTGCCTGCAAGCCTTGAACTGCTTGCTCTCTCCTTCGCAGTGGAAGGTCTCGGTGCCAGGATAGTAGAGATTCCACTGCGGGACTTCGCCACCCGGGCGCACCCCTCCTGGCTGCCCCCTGGCGTGGAACTGAACAGGGTTGCCCCGGTGCAGCAGCCAAATGTCCGGCTCCGCAGGACGAGGAGCCACGGGCTGGTCCACAAAGAGGCTGTGCGAAGGCCGCCTGCCCTGGCCCCCCGCCTGGTGCTCGTTCTGCCTCTGGTTCCGTGACCGGGATTGCCCGTGGGGCGGGCGGTTCGCGTGTCCCGCCCCATCAGGCTGGGCCATGGAGCTGCTCTCCGGGCGGCGGGGCGGCTCTGGCGTGGCCCGGTGGCTCTTGCCCGCCCCGGGCCCCTTCCTCTTGGCAGCGGAGCCGTTGTTTCTGAGGACGTGGTGGGTCAGCCGCAGCTCCCCCTGCGCATGGGGAAGGGGGCTGCCAGCCACAGAGGGCCCCTGAGAGGAGGAATGCGTCACGGCCGCTGTGGGGTGGCCGCCTCCCTCTCTGCCGCCGCCCGACGTGGGGATCGAGCCGCCCGTGGAACTCTCTGCCACTTCAGGCGTCTCGTGGGGACTTGCAGAGGATTCTGGGAGGTGCTTCTCTTGGGGTCTTGCAGAGGATTCTGGGAGATGCTTCTCGTGGGACCTTGCTGAGGATTCGGGGAGATGCTGGTTCCCCGAAGGTGCTGTGGCGCCCCCTGCCTGTTGAGCTTCGCCATGCGACCCTGGAGAGCTTGCTCCTGCCTTCCCCCGATGCTCTGCTTCCCCCAAAGATTCGCTCTTCTGTGGCGTGGCCGTACCCGGTTCCGTGGGCTGTTCTGTGTCCGCTGTGCCCCCTCTGTTTGCCATATGCCCATGACCCTCTGAGTGGCTCTTCACCCCCTCACCAGCCTGTGTGTGGGGCTGGGCAGCAGAGTCCGCCAGCAGAGGCTGTTTTGGCTTCAGGGGGGTCCTGGGTTTGGCCCTGGAGCTCAGGGGCCTCTTCTGCCCGCCAGTTTCCTCCAGCTCCTCTTCCTCGCGGGAGGAAGAGCGGACAGCTTTGCGCCTCTGTTTTTTTGAAGGAGGGGGAGGAGGAGGGGGCGGCGGGGACGGGGGCTCCCCGTCTCTGCCCCCGTGGTGCCTCTTGAATCGGGGCTGGGTCCCCTCGGCCAGGTCTGTGTGGAGGGGCAAGGCAAACGGCAGCTTCCCGTAGCCGTACTTGCCTGGCTTGATCGCCTCTCGAACCCGGGACCTGGAGGGCACAAAGTGCCACAATGTGAATTTGAAACCAAACAAACCTCTGTGTTGCAAAGAGAACGTCAGCAATGTCTAGGCAACACAATGACCATGTACATACGCAATAGACAATCTTTAGAGAATTCCTTCAAACCATAATAAGTACAAAATGAAATCTTTAGTCTAAAAGTCTCTGAAAATCTTTGAATGAGTGAGGTACCAGACTTTGTACGATGAAAGGCAAGCTGTGAAGCTTTGTGTATTCAGCAAATATGATGTCCGACACTGAACAGTGATTCCGGATATTGACTACTGTTTCGTAGAATTCTTCGTCAGCGTGGTGGGAGGATATAGAATTGCTTCATAAACCCATCTTATGTGACTACATTATTACATGAGCACTGTTCCACAGCATTTGATATTTTCATTTATATACATTCATTCGAAATATCCGGAATCACTGTTCAGTGTTGGACATCATATTTGCTGATGCATACAGGCTCCGCTCAGCGCTCCCTTTAAAGAATATTTTTTTTCTCGCATTCCCCCTCCAAAAACTAGGTGCGTCTTATGGATCGAAAAATACGGTAACTGGTTCCCACGTGGTGGGTTTTTTGAAATGCTCAGAGGAAATCTGATTGGTTCTTACAAGCGCTGGGTTAAAAGTTATTTTGTTAATAAAAGGGACCTGGGCCGGGGTGTGACAGATTATGATCCGCACTTCCTCCCAGAGTCTTGCTGGCCAAGCCTCGTATTTTGTTTTAATCAGGGTCCAGGCCCACCCTAAACCAGACCCCAAACTCACCTCCGGACCGCCGGCGACTCCGGCGTAGGAGAAGCAGCCCAGCTGCGGCGGTCACCGTCCCCTTGACCACTGTGGCGCGGCCGGTCGGGACTCAAGCCCGCCTCAGGGCTGTCTCTCCTCAGGGGTTTGAACAAAGGGATGGCGTCCCGGACGGGGGTCCGGGCGGCTGCACTGTGCCTGAAGGGCTGGTTGGGGGTCCGGCGAGATTCCTGGTTCCCTTGAGGCCTCGGCGGGTGGACCCCAGCCTCCTGCGCGGGAGCAGGGTCCCTCCGGCGGCCATGCTGGGGCGCGACGGCGTCTCGCGAGGGCAGTTCCTCGGCTGGGAGCGCCTGGTGGCGGGTGTGGCGGTTCTGGGGTCCGAGGCGCGGGGTGCGAGGCGGCTGGGCCTGGCCGTGGAGGGTCAGGGCTGAGCCGCGGAAGGGCAGACCTGGCCTGGCACTGCCCTCAGTGTGGAGAGGGTAGGATGGCCGTCCCGGGTAAGGGCTAGCGGGCCGGTTCTCGTGGGCCTGCGGAGGGTACAGCGGCTGCGGGGCCAGCTCTGGCCGGCCGGCCCAGGGGACGCGCTGGTACGGGGACTGGCACGCACGAGTCCTTTCCATGACCCCCAGGCCGCAGGGCTGCGAGCAGGCTGACCACGATGCCCAGGCGCTCCACAGGCCGGGCACTCGGCTCCCGGGGCCGTCTTCCTCAGCAGCCTGGCGAGGTCTCCTGCGGGGGACCTGAGGGTGGAAGAAGGAGGGAGACATCGTCAGTGGGGTGGCCCTTGCCAGGACCGGAACCCGCCACCCATTGCCACCCGTCATCCCTTCTCCACGTACATAAGAAGAGCCCGAGATGGAAAAAAGACAAAATCCCTGCCGGAGAAGAATGGTAGTTTAAGTTTTTGTTTTTCCCCCAAAAAATGTTTATTCATTTTATAACACAACAAAACAACACAAACAGAAAAAACGAAACAAAACGAACAAATTCTTGTCTTATCCTTATTTTTATAAACATTCTTAGGTGGGCTTCCCCAAGTCCCCCCTATCTGATTTTCATTTTACCTCATCTTTAGCAGTTTACATATGTCATAATTTTTAACCTTTTTAAAAAAAATCACGCTTAAAAGGTAAAGGTACCCCTGCCCGTACGGGCCAGTCTTGCCAGACTCTAGGGTTGTGCGCTCATCTCACTCAAGAGGCCGGAGGCCAGCGCTGTCCGGAGACACTTCCGGGTCACGTGGCCAGCGTGACAAAGCTGCATCTGGCGAGCCAGAGTCGTACACGGAACGCCGTTTACCTTCCCGCTAGTAAGCGGTCCCTATTTATCTACTTGCACCCGGGGGTGCTTTCGAACTGCTAGGTTGGCAGGCGCTGGGACCTAACAACGGGAGCGCACCCCGCTGCGGGGATTCGAACCGCCGACCTTTCGATCGGCAAGCCCTAGGCGCTGAGGCTTTTACCCACAGCGCCACCCGCGTCCTAAAATCACGCTTACTTTTGCCATAAAAACTACCAGACTTTCAGAAGACATCTGAAGGCAGCCCTGTTTAGGGAAGCTTTTAATGCATTACTGCATTTTAATATTTTGTTGGAAGCTGCCCAGAGTGGCTGGGGAGGCCCGGCCAGATGGGCGGGGTATAACTAATAAGCTGTTGTTGTTGTTGTTCTGGCCAAGTGATCTCCCTCAGGTCCAAATCCAGTGCTCTAACCATTGCACCACACCACTCTGTACAAAAAACCCCCTAATCATCTTCCTATATCTTTCGCCTTGCTGGGGAGGAGGGGAAAGGGTCTCTGCCTTTCCCCGATCCAAATTGGCTACCCGCTTGCCAGAATTATTTCCTCCCTGTTCCAAACAGACACAGAAAGAACTGTCCTGGGTGCCAGGAGATCCTTCCCAGCTGCTGACCGTCTGACCGGGCAGCTGGTTTCCTCCCTCGCTGGGCGAGGGCGTCGCGGATGCACAGAGCTGGAGAGGTCTGGACAGGGCACATTTTTCAGCCAAAAAAGGAAATTATTAATAATGTGTAAAAGCTGGTGTGCTCTATAACCCAAATCCTTGGCACTGTGGGGTAGGAGACCAAGTCGCAGGGAGAGATAGCACTGGGGCGGAAGATAACAGAGGCACCAGTCCGTCGGGCGAAAGGGAACCTGGGTTGCTTTTGCTCTAAAAGGCACTCAAAAGGATTGTGGGTTATTTGCTGGTGGAGTACAGGGTCAGGTTTAAGGTGCTGGTTTTGACTTTTAAAGCCCTAGGACCCATGGGACTGCTTCTCCTGGTCTGCCCCGCACTTTAAGGTCCACAAATGACAACACTTTGGAGGTCCCAAGTCGCAAGGTGGTTAGATTGGTCTCAACTAAGGCCAGGGCCTTTTCAGTCCTGGCCCCGACTTGGTGGAACACTCTGTCCCAAGAGACCAGGGCCCTGCAGGACTTGACATCTTTCCGCAGGGCCTGCAAGACGGAGCTGTTCCGCCTGGCCTTTGGCTTGGACTCGGTCTGACCCTTACGCTTTCCCCTCCCCTTACGGTTTTGATCTATGGGCTACTTTTAAAACGAGGCTGCATTTTAAACTGCATTTTAACTTGTATTTTAAATCGGGTCCCCCCCCCCCCACATTATGCTTCTATTGTAATTTTACTGGTGTTAGCCACCCTGAGCCAAGCTCTGGCCAGGGAGGGCAGGGTATAAATAAAATTTATTATTATTATTGCCTCCACAGTTGGTTTTCAGAGGTAGACTTCCACTGAATGTGGAGGTTCAGATGGACCAATCAGGCTCTTGCAGGTGGCTGCTGCCCGTCGGGACTGGGGAGAGGGCAAAAGTCGGGGTGCCCAACAGTTAGGGGGCGCCACAACTAATGACAGTCAGAGTCAAGTAATTTTGATTTTTGAGGGAGTTGGCTATGTTTAGCCAGGCGAAGAAAAGACATGACAGCGGAATGGACTTCCTTCTTTATAAAGATCTGAGGAATGAGATCATCACTCCCCCCTTACCATCTTTCTTTTATCAGATCAAAATGATCAGACGACAGCAAAGGTTGCTAGGGTTATCGAGGGTGCAATGAGATTAAGGGCCACTATCGCAATGACAAACCTAGACAGCATCTTAAAAAGCAGAGACATCCCCTTGCCGACAAAGGTCCGCATAGTTAAAGCTATGGTTTTCCCAGTCATGATGTATGGAAGTGAGAGCTGGACCATAAAGAAGGCTGATCGCCGAAGAATGGATGCTTTTGAATTATGGTGCTGGAGGAGACTCTTGAGAGTCCCATGGACTGCAAGAAGATCCAACCTCTCCATTCTGAAGGAAATCAGCCCTGAGTGCTCCCTGGAAGGACAGATCCTGAAGCTGAGGCTCCAATACTTTGGCCACCTCATGAGAAGAGAAGACTCCCTGGAAAAGACTCTGATGTTGGGAAAGATGGAGGGCACAAGGAGAAGGGGACGACGGAGGACGAGATGGTGGGACAGTGTTCTCGAAGAGACCAGCATGAGTTTGACCAAACTGCAGGAGGCAGTGGAAGACAGGAGGGCCTGGCGTGCTCTGGTCCAGAGGGTCATGAAGAGGCGGACACGACTAAATGACTAAACAACAACATGCAACAACAACATGCAATCCCCTCTTTTTTTAAAGCCGACTGCATTGGCATCTGTCACTGTCTCCTGCAGGAGTGAGTTCCACAGTTTAACGAAGTAAATAGGGAATCACTGGCTACCTGAGATAATTCTAACTGGAGTTTTATGACTACCAGGAACGTTAATAATAAAAATAATAATTTCATTATCTATACCCTACCCATCTGGCTGGGATTTCCCTGCCACTCTGGGCGACTTACAGCAAAATATAAAAACATAATAAAACATCGTGCATTAAAAACTTCCCGATACGTTCTGCATGCCAAGCAGGCACTCTGCCTGACCCACAAAGATGGCAGGCTGTTGTTACAACAACAACAACAATAAAATAAAAATAATAAATACTTTTATTTATACCCTGCCCTCCCCAGCCAAGACCAGGCTCAGGGCGGCTAACACCAAATATAAAACAGATTGATTGAAATACAACTTAAAAACAAGATTAAAATACAACATTAAAATGCAGCCTCATTTCAGCAGAAACTCAAAAACTTTTCGGGGGATGAAAACGTCAAGTCTTCACCAAGGCTAACTATCCAGACTGGTCCTGCGTGGGCCAGAAAAAAGCCAGGGAAGTCCCCAAATAGGAGTTCTGTTATCTCTCAGCTGTGAGCCTGTGTCTGTAAAAACCAGAATATCAACAGTCTACCTTACAGGTTTGTTGTACAGATTGTAATTTCCTGTGTAAAAAAAATAAAATAAAAAATGAAGAGGTGATGATTGACCCCAAGCACAAGGACCTCTGGCTGGAATAATTCCCTGTTCTGATTCCACCAGCGATCCTCATCAGAAGGGCCTTTGGGGGCTACTTTTCCGGGCTTTCCATTTCGTCCGTGATGCAACACCCCAAACCACCGCCTTCCAGGGTCTCCGTCTAAAGTTACAAAATCAACATCTAGATAATTGAGCCCAGATGCTCAACGCACACCGGTCCAAGCTGATGCAGCGCATACGACCCAGAGAGAAATAAACTGAGATCCTTCTTTTCACACCGACCGGAGAGAAGGGTCTTTCATTTGAACAACCTCTCGCTTTGTCCCCCTTCCGAAGAAGGAGGCCTTATTTCGCGCGCAACAAATCCGGCCGGCGGCAAACGTCCCTGGGGAGTCAGTTTGGGGAAAGCTTTGCCCGTTCAGCACTTCTGCATGTGCAGAGGAGGGGGAAAAGCGCCACAGGAGCAGGGGGACAAAACCTCTCTGTTTCGTTCGATTTGAATCATACGCTGTTTTTGTTCAGTTTCCCTCTCCAAAGTGTTATCGGGATTTATTCTCTCTCTGGACTGCCCCTGTGTTATTTAAGTGCTAGCATCCTCCAGATGTTGCTGCGCTACAGTTCCCATCACCCTTGACCCCGGCCGGCCCCACTGGCTTGCTAAGGGCTGGAATCCAGAAACAACTGGAGGGCTCAGAATCCGCACCCATGGCTTGCATATACATCTCCCCCCTTCAGCCTGGCCACCTCCATATTTTGTTGGATTCCAGTTCCCACCTGGTAAGGGACGCAGGTGGCACTGTGGGTTAAACCACAGAGCCTAGGCTTGCCAATCAGAAGGTCGGTGGTTCGAATCCCCGCAACGGGGTGAGCTCCCGTTGCTCGGTCCCTGCTCCTGCCAACCTAGCAGTTCGAAAGCACGTCAAAGTGCAAGTAGATAAATAGGTACTGCTCCAGCGGGAAGGTAAACGGTGTTTCTGTGCGCTGCTCTGGTTCGCCAGAAGCGGCTTAGTCATGCTGGCCACATGACCCTGAAAAACTGTCTGCGGACCAATGCTGGCTCCCTTGGCCAATAAAGCGAGATGAGCGCCGCAACCCCAGAGTTGGTCACGACTAGACCTAATGGTCAGGGGTCCCTTCACCTTTAGTTCCCACCTAGAGGGCCACAGATGTCCCTCATTCCTGTTGTAGAAAAGAAAAAAACCCAATTTTGGGAGTGTGGTGGGGGACAGAATTATAGGATATATAGAATATCCTTCGAACCAGATGCTATATTCCTTGGACTTTTTAAAGATACAGTTAATCCGAAGGATAAAGACTTGGTGGGGAGCGTGCCGATCGACGCCAAAGTCACGCCAACGTTTATCAGCTGCCTGGCAGAAAGCGTGGGCCACAATAATAATTTCCAAAAGGACGAGTTGATTTATTACGCACATGTATTTAAAAGGTTAAATTGGAAATGAAAGGATGGAACAAATCTAGAGACTCTTTGGATTCTGTTTTTAGATGGTCATTAATCAAGATTGCCATATTTATATTGCGGAAAGTATGTATATATTAGGGGGCTGCTCTCTCCACCAGCCAACCCCACACCGGCCCCACATTAACTCCCTACTCTCTGCTCCCCACACCGGGGAAACCCAGCCAGATAGGCGGGGTATAAATAATAAATTATTATTATTGTTGTTGTTATTATTATTCTTATTATTATTCAGCTCCTAAGATGCCCTTTGACTTTCTCAACCACACCTGAATAAGGCAGATTCCATGTTAGAGTTCATTAGCAAAAGAATCGAAAAACTGCCACTATCATAAGGCCATTATACAAAGGGATGGTAGGACTGAATTTTAAGGACTGTTCTGGTTGCCTCGCTTGAAAAAGGATATTGTGGAGCTGGAAAAGGTTCAGAAAAAAGCTAGCAAAATGATCGAGGGGGTGGAGCCGCCACTGATACGCACTGCTCCGTTCAGTATTTCTTATTCACAAACGTTTTCCCCACACTGTTAAAAGTGCAGGGCTCCTTACGTCAGCCATGATCTTCACAACTGAGTTGTCCAGATAGGTCTGGAATATGTCCATTTCACAGGTTGTGGGGATGAGGCTAAAGGCTGATAATGCTCAGGAATTGCTTGCTTGTAAGCTTTTATGGTTTGAAGCTCAACATCAAAAAAACACACGAAGATCATGGCCACTGGTCCCATCACCTCCTGGCAAATAGAAGGGGGAGAAATGGAGGCAGTGAGAGATTTTACTTTCTTGGGCTCCATGATAACTGCAGATGGTGACAGCAGTCACGAAATTAAAAGACGCCTGCTTCTTGGGAGAAAAGCGATGACAAACCTAGACAGCATCTTAAAAAGCAGAGACATCACCTTGCCGACAAAGGTCCGTATAGTTCAAGCTATGGCTTTCCCAGTAGTGATGTATGGAAGCGAGAGCTGGACCATAAAGAAGGCTGATCGCTGAAGAATGGATGCTTTTGAATTCTGGTGCTGGAGGAGACTCTTGAGAGTCCCATGGACTGCAAGAAGATCAAACCGATCCATTCTGAAGGAAATCAGCCCTGAGTGCTCACTGGAAGGACAGATCCTGAAGCTGAGGCTCCAAGACTTTGGCCACCTCATGAGAAGAGAAGACTCCCTGGAAAAGACCCTGATGTTGGGAAAGATGGAGGGCCCAAGGAGAAGGGGACGACAGAGGACGAGATGGTGGGACGGTGTTCTCGAAGCTATCAGCATGAGTTTGACCAAACTGCGGGAGGCAGTGGAAGACAGGAGGGCCTGGCGTGCTCTGGTCCAGGGGGTCACGAAGAGTCAGACACGACTAAACAACAGCAAGCTTTTGTTATTATTATTGTGGAACAAATAAGAGCCTTGATTACAATCGAGGCCGATGTTTAGGCCTCCGGAGGCAACAGATCTCCCTTTTAACCTTCCAGAAATAGCCGGAGTCTTGATTTTCCCATCACTGAAAAAGGATTTCCCCAAAGTGTGGAGTGAGGGGGCCTTGAGCCCGTTTATTTTAGCTCCTGCCCACCATTAAAGTTTCCTGGTTGCCTTGCTCCGGCTTCAACAGAGGCAGGAAAAACAAACAAAGAAAGTTAAAAATAACAGTTCTATTAATGCGGCAAATTTTGTTTTGCAGATAATAAAACTGTGTGTGTGTTTGTGTGCCCCCTGTTCTTGCAAGGAGGAAAAGAGAACGCTATTTCAACAAGCCGAATCCGCCCGCTGCTGCTTCTTATGCCCATTTTACAGATGGGGAAAACTGAGGGCTGGGAGGCCACTTAACCTGTATCCAGAGGCTGAGTGACTCAGGCAGCCCCTGTGTTGAAAAGAGGAAAAAGAACTTGTGGACATCCAAAGAAGATGAACGCTGGAAGGTTCAGGGCAGATAAATGAAAAAGAGCTTCTTCATCCAGCACATAGTTAAACTACAGAACTCATTGCTGCAGGACACGAACTCGGATGGCTTTTAAAAGAGAACTTGACATAGTCAAGGAGGGGAGAGCGTTGCTAGTGCGCTTCCGGCTGGCCACTCTGGGAACAGGATACTGGACTTGTTCCCTTGGCCTGATCCAACTGAGCTCCTCTGATGTCCTTAATGCAATCAGATCGCAGGCAGATTCTTACCAAACTCCAAGCCACTAGCCCTCACTTTTCTGAGTTCTTATTCTGTCAATCTCCAGCTCCCTATTATTATTCTCCATCCAGAACTTTGGCAAAGATTAACTGCCTTCACTTGGGGAATCGATTTCTCCAAGCGAAGGTAGTTAATCTTTGCAAAAAGATCTTTGCTTGTGAGTAAGCCCATTGCTGCAGACTGACTCACCTTCTCGGCAGCTTGGCAGAGGCTGGCCGTCAACATCATCGCGGAGAGAGTCAAGGAGATGGAAGCCAAGGGAAACCTGGAAAGGAAAACAAGGCAGTGATGGTCAGGGAGCTGCTGTTTTTGGGCGAGGCAGGAAGATGGCGGCTGTGCTGAGTCAGGCGGGCTCTCCAGGAAAGTTCCTGAGCAAAGCATGATGGGAATATCCCTGCTTTTAATGCCCCATCACTTTATAGTCAAGGAGGATCCGTTCACTGAACACAGGAAGGTTCACTGCAAGCTGTGGAGGTCTTGCACTCACTGCTGAATCTAATTAATAATACAGTGGTACCTTAATTACAGCCAGACAGGTTATAGCGAGTAATTGGAAAAATGCAGAAGAGCTAGGGGTGAACCAATGGAGGGAAAAATGGAAAAATATTATAATCTTAGAATATCTAACTGTGAAGATACACAGAATGAAAGGGTTTAAGGTCAGTGAGAAGGAGGAGGATTGGTTTGAGAAGATATTGAATTATTTGGGCAGGTTTGAACAATGTGGGGCAATTAAAATGTTAAAAGTTGTGGAGGGAGGAGTGTTAAGGTATATAGAATTGTATATATGGTTGATTTGAATATGTTATTAATGATTATGTATACCTAATGTATCAGCCACCTGGGGGGTTTCACTGTTTGTTTTCACTGTTTGCGGTTTGGTTGTTGGTAAAAAATAAAATAAAAATAATACAGTGGTACCTTGGTTTAAGAACAGCTTAGTTTATGAACAACTTGGATTAAGAAAAAAGCTGCAAACCTGGAGGTAGGTGTTTTGGTTTGTGAACTTTGCCTTGGTTTAAGAACACGTTTCACTTCCTGTTGAGTGTGTTGTAAATTGAGTCCCCTGCTGCTATGGGAAAGCACGCCTTGGTTTAAGAACGCTTTGGTTTAAGCACGGATTTCCGGAATGGATTAAGTTCGTAAACCAGGGTACCACTGTAATAATAATATTTTTAAAAATCAGATTCTTCTTGCAAAAGCTGTGGTTTGCTTTAGAGTACGGTTCTCTGTGCTTTGCATTCAGAAGCAGTTCTGCTCCGACCATCAAGGGAAAACATAGCCATTGTGGTTAGTAGTCATTGGTAGTCCTGTTTATTAACATCCATGGTTTTTCTCTGTGAAGAACTAGCATTAGAGGCAAATACATACCCATTCAGATCCAAAAATGCCTATTTGCACCCAGAGAAGATTTTTCGGGACACCCAGGTTTCGGGATGTGCTTACCACTGATCTTTGGTAATCCTGGGATTGTTTTCTCCAAAACAAGGTTAAAAAGTGGGGTAAAATGTTTTCAATAAATCGGAAGTGGCCCCACAGGTCTGGCTTGGTGACAACTCGTATCATCCCTAACCACTGAGCGCCGCTGCCTGCCCGGCGCTGGAGTACAAGGCTCTCGGGAGGGCGCTGCGTTGGCTATCGCGAGACCATCTGGGGTAGGTGGAGAAAGGAATGCGCCTTAAAACCAGCTCAGCAACTTCTGTCCCTATGATTTAATCGTACAGAAGAAAACTCCCTTTTGAAAGCTGGCTGTGAGGAAGATCTCACGCCGGGACCAATGACTTCAGCGCTTCCCCCCACTGCGTCAAGGCAGATTCCAAGCAGCGAGAGCTTTGCTGGCCTCCGAGTCTCTCGCTCGCATCCCTGGGGATCCTCATCAACCGTACAACGGTTATGTCACCAGGCACCGAGATCGAATCAGTCTCTGGCTGCCACGGCGCCAGCACATCAGAGCCAGAGGGTGGTGTGGGACATCTGGCGGGCGAAACTATGGGCGCTTCCTTGCTCAGAGAGCACCGGGGCCCTTGATGGAAGCCCAGCCAGATGGGCGGGGTATAAATAAATAAATAATAATAATAATAATAATAGGCCAGCTCCCTCACTCCATTCTGCATTTGTACGGAACTGATCTCTTAGTGTGGAACTGTGGAACTCCCTGCCTATTGATGAAAATATTTATATCTAGATTTATATCTAGATGTTAGGATAGAGATGATAAGGAAAACAGGAAGACACAATGAGAGGTAAAGGAGGTTTTGTGGGATTGGTGGAAGTCAGCGTTTGTTTTTCTTTTTAGCCTTTATATTATTAACTTGTAAGATATGGATTTGGGTTTGTTTTGTATGTTGGTTTTTGTGTATTGTTATTTTTCGATATTTTTCATGTTGTTGTTGTGTGGAAAATACTAATAAAATTTAAAAATATATTAAAAAAGAAAGAAAGGAAATATTTGTCGAACTCGATGCTGGGGACAACCAGCACACTAAAACAAACCAACACACATGACGTTCATTTGGGCACCATCCATGGCTCAGGTACAGTAGATCAGTCGATCTTAAGAAAACCCTCCTGGCAGACTGAAAAGGTTAATGTGTACTAGGGATGAAGGACACCTGCAAATTTCTCTCAGTCTCTCAAGTTCAGTTCTTCATACCAGTTTGTGATTTTGTTTTTAACTCCTCGCAAAAACTCATCGGCATTGTACGGGGCTGGGCTAGAATGACCCCTTTGGCACCTTACGACTCTACAAATTGTGAATTTAGTGTGAATTTCTCATAACGCGCACATTTCTGGTGCAATTTTGCCCAACGGACACATTTTTTTTTTGCAAAGCCATTTCCCCTTATACGATGCATTTTCGTTTCGCATTTCCACTAAAACCCACGTCGGAACGTGATTTTGCCGAACGGACACGCTTTTGCAAAGCGACGGCGCCCAATTCGATGCGTTCTTCCTGAATTCTTTCCACATTTCACCTTAGTTATATGCATTTTTCGATACTGCCCTGCAAAATTCAGAGAAATGCAGATTTCCAGGGAGGGCTGTGCTTTGGTTCACATAAAAGTTTCGGAAATTGCAGATTAGGCAGGTTTGCTTTTAAACGCAGATTTAAATCAAAATCTCTTCCCCAAAGAAATTTTCACGAGAGCTACCCCATTTTCACCCTAGGGGCACTTGCCCTCCCACCACAAACGTTCTGGCTCCAATCCTTTCCTATCCAGAGGTCAACAGGCTGCCCTGTCCTTTTGCTGAAGTGAGTCACTTACTAAGGGGGGACGGGCGGTTCTCACCTTCCCCATCTCTCCTGAAAAATCGCCCATCGTACGCAAAAGGAAATAAAGGGAACGAGCGTGCAGTAGTTTTATTACCCTGTGTGACCGCCAAGAGATTCTCGCGGCAGGCCAAGGATGAGTCAGAGGCTGGCTCAGATGGGTAGCCAGCATTGTCACCAACCAGATTGGGGCAAAACAACCCCCACAAGAAAAAGACGTGCGCCCCCCCCCCGCGCCCGGAGATCAACCTACGCAAGCAGGAATCAGGTGCCGCAAAACCAAGCGAAGGTGACTCACGCAGGGAGGTGGCTGTGGAATCTCCTTTGCCGGGGGGCACTTTTTAATTATTTTTTTTGCAAGGGAGAAAAAAAGTTGGACAGGAATTTGGTCGGGATGTTTGCAGAGGTTGTCCTGGCTCAGGACGGAGCCCGTGACGATGAGACAGCCCTCGGAGTTTCTTCCAACAGAGCCATAAAAGAACGCTCTCTTCTCTAATGTGCGCACACATGGTTCTGTACTCAATGCACAGCGCATTAATCCGTCAACATGCACCTTGCAGAGAGCGGCTGACACTAAAAATATTTTCCTGTTCAGCAGCTTTCAATACTGTTCGGACTTTCGGTTGTTGTTGCTTTTTCATTTTTGTTTAAATTTTTTATTTATGCTTCTCAGGTCGATACATTTCACTGATTTTACAATCATTTTGACATTTCAAAACTTGTCTTCCTTCCCCCTCTTTCTGCGGTTCCTCAAATTTATTTTTAGTATCTTCTGCATCTCCTAATTAACTTAATTTGCTCATTTATTCATCTTCTTTGAATATATACTCTTACGAAACTGCAGGTTATTACAATAATCCTGCCCATGTTTTTATCTGTTTACAATTTATCTGTAAATATTCAGTAAACCGTCTCCATTCTGCTACAAAAAGTTTGCTATCTTGATTTCTTATTCTTCCAGACTTTCAGGTTTTTTTTAACGTGCCGCTCAAAACTAGTTCTCTTACGCAAGAGAGAGACCCTGTGGAAGTTTATTTCCTGGGCTAAAATCCTAAAAAAAACTCAACACCTTCAGTCCTAAAAGAAGCTCCGCAACTTTGGTCAGCCCCCGTGGCCCTTCACTTCATCAAATCTGGCCCTCTTTGAAAAAAGTTTGGACACCACTGAGTGTTGGACCCAGGAGACATGGATTAAAATCCTCCCACTCGGTTCACTGGGAGCTCACTGGGGGAGGGTGAACCTTGGGGGCTGCCAGTCTCTGCCTCTCTCAGCCTGACCTACCTTCACAGGGTTGCTGTGGGGAATAAATATCGAGGTGGAGAACTACGGCAACCTCTTTATTTGTGCCCACGGACTGTCTTGCCAGAGTGGTGCATGATCTAGTTATCTAGTTATCTCCCGTTTGGACTACTGCAATGCGCTCTACGTGGGGCTACCTTTGAAGGTGACTTGGAAACTACAACTAATCCAGAATGCGGCAGCTAGACTGCTGACTGGGAGCGGCCGCCGAGACCACATAACACCGGTCCTGAAAGACCTACATTGGCTTCCAGTACGTTTCCAAGAACAATTCAAAGTGTTGGTGCTGACCTTGAAAGCCCTAAATGGTCTCGGCCCAGTAGACCTGAAGGAGCGTCTCCACCTCCATCATTCAGCCCAGACACTGAGGTCCAGCTCCGAGGGCCTTCTGGCAGTTCCCTCATTGCGAGAAGCAAAGCTACAGGGAACCAGACAGAGGGCCTTCTCGGTAGTGGCACCCACCCTGTGGAACGCCCTCCCAACAGATGTAAACGACCAGATTTTTAGAAGACATCTGAAGGCAGCCCTGTTTAGGGAAGCTTTTAATGTTCAATAGACTATTGTATTTTAATATTCTGTTGGAAGCCGCCCAGAGTGGCTGGGGAAACCTAGCCAGATGGGCGGGGTATAAATAATAAATTATTATTATTAATTGTGAGAATCCATGGTCACAAGGTCTGATGAATGGTGGCTTT